CAAACCTCCGGAGAGGGCGAGGGCCGGGGAGCGGAGGCCGGACCGCGGGGGCGATGCGGCGCGCGAGGAGCGGCTCCTCCCGGGTCCTAGGCAGCCCCGCCCGCCTGACAGCTACTACCCGGCGCAGCGCTAATGGGCGCAGCCGCGGCGCTCGCTCCTCCGCCTGGAAGCGTAAACGCGCAGGCCAAAAACTACAAAGGAAGGAGAGTCAAGGGCAGGGAGCACATCCCCTACCCGCCTCCCCGTGAGACGCCGAGGCCAAGCCAGGCAGAAATCCGAAACGGCGTGGAGTTTGGGCACAAGATTTATTACTATTACTATTATTATTATTATTATTATTATTATTATTATTATTATTTTAAAAATACAGCAGATGTATTGCTTTATTTAAAAATTCTTTGAGAAAACAGCCTTCACACTTCCCATTGCAGATTCGCTAATATGGCAGGTTCAGTAACTGAATCAAGGAGTTATCAGAAGTTCCTGGGTTCTGAGGGATGGATATGATCAACAAATATTTATTGAGAGTATGCCATGTGCTAGGCATTGTTTCTATCACCGAGGATGCCCGAGCCTAGGAAAGAGGAGCCCTGCACCCAACCCCCCACCCACTCAAGTTAGGGGCATTTGATGTCCACCTGAGCTGAATACCAATGTAATACTGGGAAACATCCATCATAATGGAAATCTTTATCTTAGTAGTGTCTGGTCAACAGTAAAAGCCTGTTTCCAAAGGGTGGTTATTTCGGTATTGCCACTGGAGAAAAAAGTTTGGAAATGGTCCCCATCTGACCGATAAAACCTTAGGTTACTCAGCACTCTGGTTCTTCCGGTGGCCCTAGGGAAGAATTCCAAACCGACCGTGAAGGTAGAAAGGCATAAACACTTTTCTTGGAATGAGATGAGTCCTGGAAGAGCATGAGTAAGAGAAGGAGGAAACACATCCAACCGACCACCTTCAGCATCTTCCAAGTCACTTCATTTCCCCCCACCACCACCACCACCACTGTGCGGCCAGTTTTTCACCGCCAGCACAATAGTTCCTCCAAGGCACTCCTGGGGACACACCTGGGCACACCTGACTTGAGAATCAGAATAACAGTGTGCTGGGAAGGCAGAGGTGATCTAAGCCTTTAATGTTCCCCCAAGGGGAGAACCCTGCTGTATAATTAGGTCCACAGCCATGACAGGCCTCAACCCAGGTGAATTTCTGGGGATAAGCTTCTCCACTTGTTTTTTTGTTTCGTTTGGATTTTTTTTTTCATGTATTTGTTTTGTGTTTGGGTATCCCTAATATATAAGCAGAGTTTCCAGATTGTAACATTATGTGTCAAATACATCCCCAGTGCTTTTTCACCAACTTTAACATACCTGTATGTCATGCAAGAATCTCATTAAAATGTAGATTCCAATTTATTAGGTCTAGGATGAAGTTTGAGATTCTGCATTTCTTTTTTTTATTATTTATTTTAATTAGTTACACATGACAGTACAATGACCTTGACATATCATACATTTGAATCAGATGGGATATAATTTCTCATTTTTCTGAGTATACAGGTTGCAGAACCATATTGGTCATGCAGTCACATATATACATACAGTAATAATAATATCTGTTTAAGATTCTGCATTTCTAACAAGCTCCCAGATAATGCCAGTGCTGCCGATCTTGGTACAACACTTTGAGACAAGGAACTCAATGGCAAATTCCTTACGATAAGGCTCCATCTAAATTCAAGTAACTTCAGAACGTAGGAACTTTGTAAATAGCTTAAGATGGGCAGTTCATTTGTTTTGTTATTAGTATTTCTTGGTGGAGGGAAGATCTAGAAATCTATTTCTGTAGTCTCAAGTTTAGCAGTTTGCCCCAACAAATACAAGTGTCTCAGGAGTTTCAGCATGTTAGGAATCCAAAACAGTTTACCTCAGGGCCTCACATGATCATGATCACAGTCAAGACATTGACTAGGGCTGTAGTCATCTGAAGGTCTGACTGCGCCTGAAAGGTCCACTTCCAAGACGGCTTACTCTCTTACAGGAGGTCTGTAGTTCCATGTCATGAGCATCTTTCTTTAGGGCTACTTGCCTCTAGAGCAAACATCCTTGATATATCATTGGAAGGGATAGCATGCCACTTCTATAATAGCCATAATAGGTTATGCAGATCAGCCCTGTTCATTGTGGAAAGAAAGTACCCAAGGGTGTGACAAGTTAGGAATTATTCAGGTCATCTTGTGGTCTGGTACTGCAGGCTTAAATCATTTAATCTTTACACACACATTTTCACACTCAAGGATCCTTGATAAAAGATTTGGCCCTTCTTAAATAGTGACTACAATTATATATAACATGCTGACATTTTAACATTACTCCTTAACATTCTATCCCTAAGATGACTACTTTTCAACTGGGATGGGGAAGGAAGTATTTCCAAAACTGTTACTTAATTTTTAAAAATTGATACTATTGGGGCTGGGGTGTAGCTCAGGGGTTGAGCACTTGCCTTGAATGCATTAGGCACTGGGTTCCATCCACAGCACCACTTTAAAAAAAAAAAATTGATACCACCTACTCTGTATCTGTTGGTTGGAAGAATCTTACCTGTGACCCTCATATACAAATTAAGACACAATCATTTTCCATAAGCTTACTTAATGTATATGATCTATATCAAGATGCAAGTGGCCAAAATTTGAAGGTTTATTCAAGAATAATAATAATAATAATAATAATATTTTGTCATTCTAATTCTAATGCAAACAAACTTTGGGGACACTAGGGAGGCAACTGCTAATGAATGTGGGTTATGACTTAAAAGGTATAAAACCAAAGCAGATTCTTCTCTTTGATGCATTTGCAGAATTTGAAGAAATTTAACTGGCAATTCCTTTGTTGAGCTTCTTTCTCCCCTCCCCCACCCTTTTTTCTAATAGATACACACCATCTGATTTGTTAATCATTCATCCTTCCAGAGATGGTCTAATTCTCTTTGGTGGTTGCAAAATCCTGACTTAAAGGCCTTCACTCTCCAGAAGCCTGCCTTGACCTTAGCCCTCTCTTGGTTGTGAATCTCCTCTTTACCCTTTCCTAACTTCTTTAACCTAATGCTTGCTTGAATAAAATCTTTTGTGTATATTCTAAAATTGCTTCATTTCTCAGATATGGGCAATTCAGTTTAATTTTTAAAATGTGTCTCCTTTCTATACATAATAAGAAATTACTCCTTTTTGCTATTGAAATATAGTAATTTTCAATCATGTATTATCTAGTGGATATAAAATTTTTGTTGGTGATATGCAAGAGGGGTCATCTAAATGTCACTTGGAATAGAAAAACTCAAGCAGGTCAGGCAGAAAAGCAATGTTCTTTGCTCTCTACGCTGAACCACACAGGTTAACAGTACAATTTAGAGTTGCCTTTTAGCCAAGTGGCAACTCCTTCCTCTGCTCAACACCTTATTTAGCATAATTTGTTTAAATGAGACTCCTTTAGATACTAGGTATTGAACCCTGAGGCACTTAACCACTGAGCCACATTCCCAGCCCTTTTTATTTTTTATTTTGGGACAGGGTCTGCCTAGGTTGCTAAGTTGTTGAAACTGGCCTCAAACCATCAATCCTCCTGCCTCTGCCTCTCCAGTTGCTGGAATTACAGGAGTTCACCACTATGTTGGGCAGTGATCTTTACATAAGAAATTTAGCTTGAATTTTCCTGGTTTTGCTTCATCTTACTTTATTTCTCAAAGTCCTTGGCTTATCTTCACTTTGGCCATAAACTTATATTTTTAAAGGCAGTGTTCCAGCGCCTCCATTACTTATTACGTAAAGGATGCCTAGGAGCCTTTTAGACTGCACTGTGCTGGGACTTTCTGCTGTCTCATGTTTTCATTCCAGTTCACTCTGTGCCAAGCATTTCTCCCAGAAGTAAAAGTGATGAAACAACTATTTTCCAGCCTGGTGACTATAGACTTGAGTTTTTGAAATGAAGCATAATTTTTTAAAAAATCATTATCTTTAATGATTATAAATCATTATATTTTCTATTAAGCTTTAATGGGAAAGGTGATAAAGCAGAAAGGTTCAGAAAGGTGTGCTCGATGCCTACCTTATAACCTGCTCCCAGAATGGAAAAGGGGCTCAGCCACATTTTTCTCTGTTGTTTCATGGTGGAAGTTTTGCTGCCCTTTTTCACCCACGGTTCTTATAGCACTTTGCAGATATATCAATGACTTCTTCACAAATATATATGAGGAAATTATTAAAACCACCTCTTTGGGTTCATGAAATTCAAGTTTAGTTCATTGGTTTAATTGCAAGTTAACTTTTTGAATGAAAATACCAGACACATGAAGAAAAATTCAAATATGTATGCTTTCATTATATAGAACTTACAACATACTTTTTTTTTTCTTTTCCCATGAGAAAACCATGGTTCTTCCTTCCCATT